CAGATTCAGACTGAGGTGTTTATGCTGACTCTACTCAACAATCTGATGAAATTCTCTGTTTACATGCTCACTACAAGTAATCAGATCCAAAATGACATGCAGGCGTGGAGAACCACTTAGAGTAAACGTTACCATGACAACCAGCATCACGTGAGTCCAGTCAGAGTGAGACGAGCAGCAGTGAGCAGCGCTTGTGTTTTTAATCACTTTAAAACGATGTCAGACTCAGGAAAACATCCTTCACATGTCCTTATTAAAGAGGGCCGAGAGGAAGACGTCGTGTTCTGAGACACATAAGCTGGACGTCCGTCCCACCGCCATCTTTTAAAGATCAGAGCATAAACTTCGTCTCCTCTGCAGACCAGTTTCTGCTCCGTCATGTTGAACGGTATAAACTCTCACTATGACGTGACAAACATGATCAGAACATACTTAAACTTTCTGATAGGGAATGTAATCAGATACAGGCGTTTACACGGATATTATTCTTCTATTTAACGGATTATTTACAGGATTACCCACCTCATTCAATCAGATAGAGACTGTATTCCAAATGGCCTCAATCGGACAAACCTATTCCAATTGAGGTGGATACATGGACATATTCCATTCTGATTGAACCCTTAGTCGGATTATTAACAGATTATTAGGCTGCATGTAAACGTGGTTAGTGATTTCTGGGCAAGTTCTGCTGCTGAAATTCACTCGCCCTCCAAGGACTTGTCTAACCTAATGAAAAAGCCCTTACAGCAGGGCTTACACCACACAATTTTTAGCCCAATTTTAACCTCAATTCGCAACTCACAACAAATTTTCACAATCTAAAGCAAATGTCCAGGTTGGGTGCTCGATCATAAGCAACTAACGGCACAGATGATCTGGTAGTTTGGAGGGAAAGTCAATCTTTATCCCTCTGATATTTTCAGAAGTTTTTTTTACGACTCAAAACATTCACGAGTTCTGTAGTGTGAGATGGTCAGAGATGTAACTCAATGGCTGATTCAGGCACCAGCTAAGAAGAAGAGCTAGACCAGTAGAGACAAAAGGCAACACAATGCATACTGTGAGCAGTGAGAACAGACAGAGAAGCTGTTTGTTGAACACAGGCTAATAAGAGACTTCATCAAGTTAATAATGATGTACTAATCAGTTATCAGTGTTTCTCTACCACTTACTAATCCGCAGTTTGCATTTTTACTACAAATAAAAGCACAAACAGGTCTGATCCAGTTTAGCTTTGTCTGTGTTACGTGATGATGGGGGGAGCTGGGAGTTTGAGCTGTTTTTCATAGCTGAAACTGTGTGTTATACTCTCTCTCTCTCTCTCTCTCTCTTTCTCTCTCTCTCTCTCTGCCTTATTGTCTAGTTTGCACTCCCTCCTGACAACCACACACAAAGACACAAACTGAGGCAGAAAAGTCAGCATCTGCTGCCAAAGTCTGTATATACTGACTTTACCCTGCTTGACGGGACAGAATTGTGGGGTTTAAACATTAATACAGTGTTTTTCTTATTTGTCTCTGTAAAACAGCCCACAGAGAGAATGTTTCTACCATGTACATAAACACCTGATTTTAGGTTCAGTGCTCAGTGTGGCTCAGGCCAGCCAAGCTGCTGCAGCTCAGTTTCATAATGACTGAATTCTTCCTATATAGTGCGCACTGTAAGTAGAGCTGGGCGATATGACCAAAAATGTTATCACAATAAACAAAACTGATATTGTTTGATATCGATACATATGAATAAATACATATAAATGTCACATCATTATTTCTTTCAAATTTGAAGGCTGATTTTGCTCCTGGCTGGTTAATTGCTGTTTTAAACTTTTTTAATCCTTTATGGTCAGAACACGACAAACACTCATCAAACAGTGGAACATTTCACAAATCTGGCATGGGAGAGTGGGAGAAAGTTCCTGTTTGGCTGTTTTCACCAGCTGGAAAAGCATGACTGCAATTTTTTAATAATCATAATTTAAGAAAGAAAAAATTAATTTTAGCTGCATCACAGCTTCCTCAGTTTACTTTAGTTTAAATCAGGGCTGTAACTGCATGAACCACTTCTTTCTTTCACTTTCATTGCTTGGGAAAGCACTAATACTGAAATATGACTGAATGCTGTAACAGTGCTGTAGCTGTGAGGATCAGATGTGATTTAACGCTGCTAAAGCTGTTAGGATGTTAGTAAAGAGGTGAGTTCACTGTAGGACAGAACAGTTACACCACTGACCTCGTCACTCACACTCAGTCACAGGAGAACAGATCGCCGGTCGCTCCACTCAAACAGGGAATGAATAACTCCACGTTTCAGATGTTACTAAAGACTCATTTTACTCATCACCCCCTCCCTCTCTAATCATGTGGAGAAACCCGGAAGTGCGCCCTCTCCTGGTGACAGCAGAGTAGTGTCGCTTTCCTCGCAGTAGAAAACGCCACCAGGGCTGTCGCTGAACGTGGAAGTGTGAGAATGGTGTATTATATCGAATATTCATCAGACATTTCTCATAGTTCTTATAATTATTCAGCCGTGTTCTGCTCAGGACTCTGGACCGCAGTGTGTAGTTTTAGATTATGACGCAGGTTTATTGGACACGTCCACACAGATCTGTCTGTAGGGGCTGTTAAACACGCAGTGTGACCACACTCATCACAGCATAACGGACAGAGTGAGTACTTACAGAGTGAGTACATACAGAGTGAGTACTTACAGAGAGTGTACTTACATAGAGTGTACTTACATAGAGTGTACTTACAGAGTGAGTGTATAAATTATAGGCCTAGTCTGTAAATTATGGTCTAAACATGCAGTGAATCACCAAAGATCAGGATTTCTAAAACTGCAGTTTCTGTCTGGCTTTAGAAATCTAAGGCCCACAGTTTGTCCAGTTTAAGGTGGAGTCTGTGTTCTTTCACTTCACATCCCACCCAGAATGAAACACTAGCCAGTCACAGCGCAGGATGCGGGCTATGCCGGAATACGGGTGGAAAAATAAAGTTTTCCTGTGTGACCGCACCCAGACAGGCAACTTTCCTGGAACCATAAAGTGAACCCGTTCTAAGCGAAACCGCTCCTCTTCTCCGTCCCGGTTCTGAGTCTCTCAGCCCGGTACCACAGAGATGCAGGACTAAATTAACTTGGTTTTAATGTGTTTCCCCTAAAGCGTTTCTGTGCATTTAAATACATATTTTATTGTTCGTGCTAACAACAGACACCACCAGACAATAGAACGTCAATAGCTCCATAAACACTGTGTCCATGCACATCTGGTGTTATTTACTGTAAATTATGGTTAGAAACACAAACCACTTTAATTTAGAAAAAGGACTTTGAATTAACCTGTATCTAAAATGGACTCACCAATACTTGTCCTAACAGTACTGAGCGTACCTTACCTGTAAACACTGATATTACCTGTGTACTGATATAGCTAGTTAGCTTGATGACGGAGGTTCAGTAATCATCAGACATTAGCAGTCTTGAAGGTTCAATAGATCCTTAACCATCTAAAATATTAGTTTAAAAAATGAGAGTGTAGAAAAGAAAACGACTTATTTAAGTGGATCAAATTGCAAATCAAAGGTTTTTAAATCCATCAAACACTCAGTGAGTCAGATGTAAGTTTTAAATCTTGTACATTTTTTTCATATTGAATTTCGATAATATTTTAGACATTGAACATTTAAGTCAGCAGTGTTTGGTGCAGATAAGTTTCAGTAATGACACACAAACTTTGAATTTCACTTGAGGATATCATAATACGGCTAAAATGCTTTTGAAGGTTAAAATACAAATATTAATATAAAGTAATTATTGCAGTACATTAAAAATTCTAAAGTTGTGTATGATTGCTGAAACTTAACTGTACCATTTACAGCTGTTTTTAATGTTGTCTATAATTTAGCTGAAATATTATTGAAACTCAAAATACTGAAAAAATTGTAAAAAGTAATAACAGTAATGTATCCAAATCCAAAGGCTGCGCATCATTGCTGACACCTCACTGCACTGTACTCAACTGTTTTTAATGTTGTAAATAATGTAGCTGGAATATTATTGAAATTCAAAATACATCAAAATTAATAAAAAGTAGTTACAGCAATATATCAAAAATCCAAATGGTGTGCATCATTGCTGACACTGCACTGCACCATAAACAGGTAATTTTTTTTTTATTTTTACCTTATTTGACAGCTAAACATCCTCTCACAGAGAGAGCGAGAGAGAGAAAGGGAGAGAGAGAGAAACAGAGAGAGAGAAGCTGCGTTCTGTGATAAAGACCCTCTGATTAACAGGCTATGGTGCGAGTGCTCACACAGCACAAGGCAGTAAACGGTTTAGTGCTGGATTTTTCACTGAGTTTTTTATCTCAAAGGCAAATAATTCACTTTAGCCAAACTTAGATCTGAACAAAAACTGCAGTTTTTGTTCTCATCACACTAATGAAGTAACTGCAGTTGCAGTTATATCCAGATAGCAAAGTAACGTTGAATCACATACTGTTCAACGTTGAATCAACGTTGAAACTGAACGCTGGATCAACTCCGTTTCAACCTTTGTTTAAACATTGTTTATAGTGAGGCTGTTTCAGTGTTTACATCACACATATAACCCTGTTTTAGGCACAACAGGATTTCTAAAAACATAGTTGTCTAATAACAATAATAATAATAATAATAATAATAATAATAATAATAACAACAATAAAAATTATACTCCATTTAATAATAATAATGATAATAATAATAATAATAATAATAATAATAATAATACATGAAACTATTTGATGAAAGCACTTTCATCACTTAACTTTAACACATTTTATAAAATTGTCTTCATAGGAGAAGGTTAGAGTGATATTTATTCTGAGTTTGGTAAAAAGTTGTGGGAATGCAAATACAGAGAACAGCAGCAGACAGAAAGCACACAGCATATTATTTAATGCAGTTGCGGTCTATATATGTTGCTTGACAAAAAGAATTAAAACAAAATGACCATACCTGGAGTCTGTCCCAAAACGCAGTGAGCTCTGTAAGGAGCCGCTGTCTACAGAGGCAGCTGTCTAAGTAGGCAGCGCTCCAACCGTCATCTGTCTTTATAAGGCGGATAAATGAGACGCTCTAGTTAGACAGCAGTGACGTCACCGCTTGTTCCCGCCCACTGCACGAGACCGGCGTTTACTGACCTCAGCCGTCAGAATCACATTTAGCCGTCATGGATCTGCTCTGATGGTTTATACAGCGATTTTAACTGTATTTGCTCTGAATGAAACAGCAAAATAGACAAACGCAGAAACTATAGGCTATTTCTGCTCCTTTATGACTAGAAAACAGATAAAAACCCCAGAAAATCAGAATAACTTACATTTGAAGATGACGTCACTGCTTGGTGAAGCGCTTCTGCCCGCCATCTTCAAACAGAAGTTGCATCGCAGGATTGCCTCAGCTACTGACAAAAAATGAGAGACCTTAGTAGGCAGCATATTTGAGATATCTAAGAATTGGGACAGCCTTATTGTCAGGCATATTGTGACATAAAATGCTGTCTATGTAGAGAGCTCACTAGGTTTTGAGACACACCCATTATTTTACAACAGATGCCAGCTTGGTGCTTCTTGTAATTTTCTTCTGGGGAGCAGCTGAAACAAATGCAAGTGAAAGCGACACATATTAGACGGTGGAATACCTCTGTAAAGAGCCCATATCGAACACTTATCTTAAATTTTATTTTGTCCCCCTGTCCCTCCACTTATGACACTTATGTGCTTTTATGTACCAATATTAGTCAAAATTTAAATATTTATTATTCAGTAGAATTTTCTACCCTTTATTTATCTTAGTAAATTTTGGTTTTTATTTTGAGAAGGGACAGTTGGGTATACAACCCAGATTACAAAAAAGTTGGGGCACGGTGCAAAATCAAAATAAAAACAGAATATAAACCCTATATTAAATTGAAAATAGTACAAAAACAACATGTCAAATGTTCAAACTGAAAACTGTTATTGTTTTTGAAAATATATGCCCATTTTGAATTTGATGCCAACAGTATATTTCAACAGGGACAGGGGCATGTTTACCACTGGGCTGCATCACCTTTTAACAGCACTGTGTAAGCGATTAAGAACTGGGAAGAACAGTTGCTGTTTTGAAAGTGAAATGTTTTCCTGTTCCTGCTCAACATAGGATTTCAGCCGCTCAACAGTTCAGGGTCTCCTTTGTATTTTTTTTTCATATTTTTCACTTTATAATGCACCAAATGTTGTCAGCGGTGACAGGTTTAGACTTCAAGCAGGCCAATTTAGCAAGCGGACTCTTTTACTATGGAACCATGCTGCTGTAGTACGTGCAGATCGTGGTTTAGCATTGTAAACTTTTTAGCATTGTAAATTGTACTTAAATGGCAGCATTTCTGGATCCTGTTTATATTTGGTTTCTTCTTTGCGTTTTAGAGTTTTAACTTGCGTTTGTGGATGCAGTAATGAACTGATCTCACAGTGTTTTTCACAAGTGTTTCTGAGCCCATGCAGTGATTTCCACTACAGAATCATGTCTGTTTTTAATGCAGTGCTGCCTGAGGGCCCGAAGATCACAGCCATCCCATACTGCATACAGAGATTTCTCTGGATTCTCTGAATTTTTTAATGATATTATGTCCCCTAGATGATGAAATCCCCAAGTTTTTTATATATTAAAAATAAATAAATAAATAAATAAATAAACATTTCTTAGTTTCAGTGTTTGGTATATTGTCTTTGTACTATTTTCAGTTCAATATAGGACAAATGATTTACACATCATTGCATTCTGTTTTCATTCACATTTTGCACAGCACCCAACTGTTTTGAAAACTGTTTTTATGTCTATTTTATGTCCTGTAGGGACATGATGGTGTAGGCCACATGTTCCCAACTCTGGTCTTGGAGTATTCTCTCCCCTGCATATTTTAGGAATTAAATAATTATCTTATTAACTAATTTTTAATCTAATTGGACAAGAACTCTATCTCAATTCTCTCCTCCTCTCTTCCACTGAAATGGTACTGTTTCCCCCATCTGTACAAGAAACAAACATTTTTCACTTGGTATAATATTACTAACATAATATTATCAACATAGGGCTGTGTGTCCATAAAGGTTTGAATACCCCTGTTTTTAAATACATTCTCTATGGGGAATACATTTAAATATGCCATTTCCTGCATGTTTTAGTGCACAATTTCTATTTTATTTGCTAAGATTAACATGTTGGAAAAAATAAAACACAAAATCTAAAATGTGCTATGACATTTGCATGGGCCACATTTTATGTTTTTATCTCAGTTAAATTTAGTGAAAATACACAGTATTTGTGCATAAAAATATGAACTTATTTTCACTCAGAAAATTAACCCAATGTTTGCATACAACTATGTGTGTGTGTGTGTGTGTGTGTGTGTGTGTGGCCACTTTATTAGGTAAAACCCCTGTCCACTGTATCAGCTTCACTTACCATATAGGTGCACTTTGTAGTTCTACAATTACAGACTGTAGTCCATCTGTTTCTCTGCATACTTTGTTAGCTCCTCTTCCACTGTCTGCTGCTTTAGACACAACTACCTTGTCGTTCCACCTTGTACATGTAAAGTAGTAGACTATAACTCATCTGTTGCTGCACAGTTTGCATTAGTTTTCCTCTTGATCTAATCAGTGGTCAGTTTCTGGACACAAAACATTGGACATATTTGGTTGGCCAACTGTTCTCAGCCAGCAGTGACTCTGAGTAGTTAAAAAAGCTGTTGTGTGTGATCCACTTAGTGCAGCACACATAACACACAATAACATTCCACTACCATGTCACCGCCACGTTAGTGTCACTGCAGTGCAGAGAATCATCTACCACCCAAATAATACCTGCTTTGTGGTGGTCCTGTGGGGGTCCTGACCACTGAATATCAGGGTAAAAGGAAACTAATACAGTATGCAGAGAAACAGATAGGCTACAATCTGATGTACAAAGTGCTCCTGTTTGGTAAGTGGACCTAAAAAATTGACAGTGAGTGTAGCCTGAGTGTAGGTAAGTGTACCAAATAACGCAGACTGTGTGTGTATATATACATACGCTCACTTGTGGTGGGATAGCTTCTCCCCATCAAGCACCTGTTGGTCATTTTCTTTAAACCTCAGACTCCATCTCCATTCATTCTTTCCTGCTTTAGTGAAATGGTACCCCATCACCAGAGTTAATCTGTACAAAAAACAAACATTTTTCACTCAGTGTTATGTGAATATACTCTATGTGCTACTTAAGTATAATCACATCCTTCTATTATTATTATTATTATTATTATTATTACTACTACTACTAACTAATACTACTACTGTACACTTCCAATTGTGTTAAGAAATCAATGTATGTTTTCAATAAAGTACGTATTTACTTGAAAGAGACCCTTTCAAAGCTTGTAAACAATGATGAAGTTGCAAACATGTACAACATTTCTCAAAATGTGTGATAAAAAACTCTGGATATATGTTTGTTTGAGTCAGTGTTCGGATTTTAAGGGGTCTGAAAAAAAATGCTTTCCAGGTAAAAATTCAACCCTTTCTGAATCATTTAATAGTACACAACTGTATGCACAGTACCAGGACATTTTTATTGTGTACCACTATTCTGTATGGATAGAGAATTCTCAGCATTTTACACACAGCTCAAGTGTCCTGATGTTTCAGATGAGTTGTATAATAATAAAAATATAGTAGTTGCTGGTTTACTACAGTCATCTGTGGCAGAATTCCAAAGCAACCCTGCTATAACAATGGAAAACATTTTTTTATGTTAAGCATATCGACTTACTCATTTACTCAAGCAGAGCCCATGTAGCAGCCTAAGGTTTCTCCAGCACACAAGTTGCTTTTGTGCACATCAACTAAAGAGCAAAGTAAAACAAGGTCAAATAGAAAAATAAACAAATGATTGTCATAAAAACAATTTAATTAAACCAGCTAATGGTAAAAATACAGAAGCCAAAAAACAAGCTGGATCAAACCATGTTAATGATAATGATTAAAAATCATAGACTTTAGAAATAAAAATGAAGACACATCAACATGTAGCAACAGGGAACAAGAATGGTTTTATAATTGCATCTTGGCATTATTTTAAATTGAAATCCAATCAAACCAAATCATATCACATTGTGCCAAGAGATTCCTGCCCCTCGACTGTAATCAGTTTTCTTTTAAGGCTGTAACACAAAGTGTTAGAATAACGAAAGTAGCTTTAAGATTTTATGAAGGTGCTGTATTTCTAAGGCACTGACACACATTTTTATAATAGTCAGCTTGACTGTTAGGTCCATATTAGTCAAAACGTCATTTCAGTCTTACCAGTCATTCTGCTGGTGATTTCCAAAGCTCTGTGAAATAAAATACAGACATGAAGCATTTTAATATACTGCAGCAAACCATACTGATAGTAGTTTTACCACAAAGTGACTTACTAGTTTAAGCCAAACCCCTAAAAGCTCAGTGTAGTGCAGACTAAACTAGCATAAAGTTATACATCTGACACTTTAATTTACTATCCTAATTCTCTGTGTGAGGGATGTTTCTTTGATTTACCTTCCTAAATGTTTTATCTGCCTTCTGCTCCCTACACAAACGTAGCTAGCTGTACTCAGCTGCAGCTCCACATCAGCTCAGAGCGATTCCTGCTCTTCCTAAATGCCGTAGCCGCGCTGTGGGGTTGCTAAGCAACATCAAGGGTTACAGGCAGGCGAGCTAGCTTTCGCTAAACTAAGATTATGCTAGCGTTAACTAACTTACCCAAAAGGTAGTGTCAGCTGACAGACACAGCTAAGAGTATGAAATGTTTATTGTTTATATACCATGGTATACATACAAAGCCCACAGAGGAAATGTCTGTGTCACTGAAAACAATACCTTTTTAAGCAGGTCTCGTAGAGCTTTGCCACACATGGGTCAGATGCGGCGGCAAGATGGCGTCGTGAGCGAGCAATTTATGCCGAATGCTCTTCACCAAACTCGGTCCTTTGATGATGAAAATATGAGCTTAAGCGTTACATCTAATTAAGTATTACTCTCTTTT